TCTGCATGCATACACTTGCTAGGTTGTGATCACTGTCTTGTTTGTTCTACTTTATATAACCCTGCGTGTGAACTAGCCTTGTGGCCGTTTGCTTGTGCTCGGAATGTGTGGTGACGTCGTGATCCACCCTGAGCTTGCTTTGCTCTTCTTGACTAGTCTTGTGACCTCTTGTTCTCCCCCACTTCGCCTATGGGGGTGTGTCATACTTATATGCTATAACCTGTGTAGGCTGTAGTAGAGTAGACAATATGGGGTACAACACTTTTAAGTTTACTACTTGTACCCACCTGCTTCCTAGTCATTTTCATTGCCTCGTATTATTCTCACATAAGAGCGCGGGGTCGGGATGTGTGGTGCATCCGGGTCTCCCTCATGTGCAATCAGAATGGACACGAGATGAGTTACAGCAGCTGCAAAACACTCAAATTCCTCCTGCCTGTCCTGAAGGACGTTCGTGCCAAGAGCACGCTCACCCCTGACGGACGGAGGACAGACAGACTCTGACTCAGCAACAAGACTGGCGGCGTAGTCTAGACGAAAGCGAGCAGCAAAGTCGACAAGCTCAGCAACTAGGGGAGACGCAGTAGCAGACTCAAACGAAGGGTCTGTGACAACAGTGGCCAGGAGACAGGTGACAGTAGGACTGGCAGTACGAGCGAAGTCAGACGAAGGGTCCGAAACGTGCAGAAGAGATGACTCTGGAGGAGACGGCAGGGGAACACGCTGTGGAACAGAGGAAGGAGGAGTGCCATAGTGTGCGTGCCGGGAACAGGAGGAGGACGCTCACGAGGAACACGACGACCAGTGCGACCAGCGCGAATAGGCGAGGCAGGACGAGACGCAGGCTCACGACGCTCTGTAAGCGAGTCTGTCTGCTCAGTGTAGGGAGAAGGAGCAGGGAGTGGAGAGCCAGGCTGTAACGGGAGGCTAGTAGAAGACGGGAAGCTAAGAACCTGGCAAAGAAAGTAGTCTCGCGGTGGCAGAGACGACAGCGACGACGGAGCAAAGAATAGTCGTCGCTATGCAGTACCACCGGCACCAGCACCAGCAGCTCCAGCGCCTCCAAGAGCTCCAGAACCTCCAGCTCTAGCGCCTCCAGCTCCAGAGCCCGCAGTGCCACCAGCACCTCTAGTACGAACACCAGGAGCGCCAGCGCCTCCAGCAGCTCCAGAATCTCCAGCACCAGCGCCTCTAGCTCCAACGCCTCCAGCTCTAGAGCCCGCAGTGCCACCAGTACCTTCACCGGCAGCTCCAGCGCCTCTAGCGGCTCTAGAACCTCCAGCGCCAGTGCCTCCAGCTCCAGCGCCTCCAGCTCCAGCACCTCCAGCTCCAGGGTCTCCAACTCAAGGGTTGACAGTACCAGCTCCAGGGCCTCCAGAACCAGCACCTCTAGCTCCATGTTCTCCACCTCCAGGGTCGACACGACCAGCTCTTGGGCCTCCAGCCACAGTGCCTTCAGCAGCAGCACCCCTAGAACTGGCACTTCCAGCTCCAGCAGCACCACCAGCCCTGGCAGCTCCAGTACCTTAAGTACGAGCACCTCCAGAACCAGAACCACCAGCATTCTCAGCGCCTCCACTACGAGCAACTCCAGCACCTCGAGCAGCAGTACCTCTAGCAGTAGGACCTCCAGCTGCAGCAGCACGACTCCTCAGGCGGGCACGCCATGCAAGCCACTCTCAGAGCTGCTGTGGTGAGAGAGGCCCCCGTCGTGAAGAGAGACCCAGAGAAACACCAGCAGACTCAGCACCCCTAGGCTCCGCACTCGTAGGCTCAGCACCCCCAGGCTTCGCACCCCCCAGCACCTCACGCATAGGCTCGGCACCTCCAGGCTCCGCACCCCCCACCACCTCACGCACAGGCTCAGCACCCCCAGGCTCCGCACCCACCAGCACCTCGCGTAGGAGGGGGCAAGGGGAGAGGGAGAGCACCCCTCAAAGACGGGGGTGCGAGGAGCGCCACGAGCAGCACCTACAGTGACTATGCTAGTCTCGGCGGCTAGAAGCTAATCCTCTAGGAGGTCTATAGTGAGATCGGTGGGACAGTGAGCGAGAAACTGGTCCCTGACCAAGAGAAGAGAATCAGGGAGATGGGTCACTATGAAGTGGAGGGTCCAGTACATCGGAGGCAGGTTCTTAGCTAAGAACTCTTTGGGGAGGGCGGCGTGAAGGCGAGTGTCACAAGTGCGAAGGTGGGTGATAAGATCGGCAACTATGGCAAAGGTGGACATCTCAGGGAACGGGAAGGGCAGCATGAGGCGGCTAAGTGCAACAGTGGCAGGGGAGGAGTATCGAGCAACTACAGCGTCGTACGGGGCCTTAGCGGTTTTGTGTTCGCCAAAATGCATGAGTTCGGCTAACGTCAGGTGGTTGCGAACGGCTAGGCGACCAGCAGCGTCACGAGTCTGCCACTGGGAACGGGCGCTAAGCTCAGCTGTGGCAGCAGGAGCGACTGAGGCACCAGACGTGTGGTCAAAGAGAGAGACATTTTCCTTGCTATCGCTCATTAGGAACAGCTACAGGTCATCGAGCCAGGTCCCAAACTGAATCGGGCGGCCCTCAGTATCGAATGACAGAACGCAGAGGGTGGCCATAACTGCTGGCGCGGGGACTAGCAGGACAGAGCGATTGCAGGCAAGCAGCAGTAGTAAGGGCGGCGCGCAGGGCTGAAGCGGGCGGCCGCAATAGGGGCAGGCGCAGATGCGGCGTGCGGGCTTAGTAGGCAGGCGGCGCGCGGGGCCTAGCGGGCGGCCGAAGCAGTGGCAGGCGGCGCGCGGGGCAGCAGGCGGCCGGCGGGGCAGCAGGGCGGGCGGCCGCGGCTGTGGCAGGCAGCGCTCGGGGCTGCAGGCGGCCGCGGCTGGCGGGCTGCGCGCGGGTAGGGCAGGGCACGCGGCTGGCGGGCGGCGCGCCGGTAGGGCAGGGCGCGCGGCTGGCGGGCTGCGCGCAGGCAGAGCAGGGCGCGCGACTGGCGGGCGGCGCGCGGGCAGGGCAGGGCACGCGGCTGGCGGGCGGCACGCGGGCAGAGCAGGACGCGCGGCGGCGGGCTTCGCGTGGGCAGAGCACGACGCGCGGTCGGTGGGCTGCGCGCAGGCAGGGCAGGGCGCGCAGCAGCGGGCGACGCGCGGGCAGAGTAGGGTGCGTGACGGACGGGTGGTGCGCGGGCAAGGCAGGGCGCGCGGCGGATTGGCGGCGCGCGGGCAAGGCAAGGCGCGCGGCGGACTGGCGGCGCACGCGCAGGGCAGGGCGCGCGGCGGACAGGCGGCGCGCGGGCAGGGCAGGGCGCACGGCGGACTGACGGCGCGCGGGCAGGGCACGGCAGGGCGCGCGGCGGTTAGCAGCAATCGGCGCGCGCGGGCAGGGCAGGGCAGGGCGTGCGCGGGCAGTGCGACGGAAGGCAGGGCAAGGCAGCGTAGCACTAACAGGGCGGCGCGACTTGGTGGGGTAGCGCGATTCGGTGGGCCCTAAAAAAAACCGGTCCTAGGCTAGGACCTGCTCTAAAGCCATGTCAAAAGTACGAACTAGCAGCATGCAGGAGTACAAGTAGGAAACCCTAATTGTGTTGTACCCCTTATGGGCTATCCCACTACAGCCTACACCATATACAGCATATGAGTTTGACAGCAAAAATAGCAGCAGAGCGGCTCGGTGAGGCTAGGCTGCAGCACCTCCAGCACTCCTAGCAATACCTCCACCAGCAGCAGTAGCAGCAGTAGGGTGGATCGGGTTGGGCAGGGCGGCTCGGGCTGGGCGGCGCGACTCGGCCTGGGCGGCGCGGGCAGCAGGGCGCGCGCTGTGTAGGGCAGTAGGGCGCGACGCGTGGGCAGCGGGGTGCGGCGCGCGGGCAGTGGGGTGCTGCGCGCGGGCTGCAGCAGGGCGCGACGCGCGGCCTGCAGCGGGGCGCGACGCGCGGCCTGCAGCGGGGCGCGACGCGCGGCCTGCAGCGGGGCGCGACGCGCGGGCTGCAGCAGGGCGCGACGCGCGGGCTACAGCAGGGCACGACGTGCGGGGCAGCAGGGCGCGACGCGCTGGCTGCAGCAGGTCGCGACGCGCGGGGCAGACGTAGGGCGCGACGTGCAAGGCAGCAGGGCGCGACGCGTAAGGCAGCAAGGCGCGACATGAGGGCTGCAGCAAGGCGCGACGCGCTGGGCAGCAGGGCGCGAGCTGCAGCAGGACGCGGGGCAAGGCAGGGCGCGCGTGGGGCAGCGCGACGCGGGGCACGGCAGGGCGTGCGCGGGGCAGCGCGATGCAAGGCAGGGCAGGGCGTGCGCGGGGCAGCGCGGCGCAAGGCAGGGCAGGGCAGGGCGTGCGCTATAGGCGCAGCGCAGGGCAGGGCGTGGGGTAACGCAGTAACCGCAGTCAGTCACTAGGAAATGGTGGGCCGGAAAAAAACGGTCCTACGGACCTACTGCTCTTAAACCATGTCCGAAACTATCGAGCAGGAATGATTGCATTGACATCAAATTAAGTACAAGTATAACCCTAATTGGGTTGTACCCTATATAGGCTACCACACTACAGCCTACACAACACAAGTAGCATTATAGTTTGACAGTAGGGACCATGTATTCGTGACTGTTTGTGATTCCTTCAAATTCCAGCAGGTGCCCGAATTTCGGAGGGGAAGGGCGGGAAAATCGGGTTGGGGGCCCGGGGGCAAACGTGGTCCATCCAATTATGAAAAACGCCCATGTGGCGAAGTCGGAGCAATTTAGGTCGATTTAATTGAGAGAAATGCGATTTCCGCCGATGCGCGCAATTTCGCCCCTAAAAATTCTAGGACAGATTGCAGAATGGAAAGATCACAATTGCCTGCAGATTATCCCATCCGCTAAATAAAGGGATGCGGCTAAATTTAGGTAATAAAACTGATACATATTTTAATCACTAACGTATTATACATCTCCATTGCTACTTCACAAATACGGTACTCCACTCTGTGCTTCCTTCCATCCGTGGCACAGGCTTCTCCGCCCTGTCTCCTCACCACATGCAGCTTGCCATCTACCCTGTCCAGATGGTGGAGTACGTGCCATAGGCAGCAAAGGCCAAGCCAAACGCAATGAGAGCCGAATCAGACAAAATGGCTCCCCAGGTGGCGTCGCTGCCTAGGATCTGCAGGTGGAAAGTGGCGGGCAGCACAAAAGCCAGCAGTGCACACACGGACGACCCCACAAACGCAATGAACGTGGCAAAGCCCGGCACCTGCACCGCCACGAGGGCAGCCGCCAGCACGATGAGGGTTCGCACGGAGCGCAGGAGGAAGCGGCGCAGGCGCGGGTAGGGCTGCACGTGGCGCTGGAAGGCGGGCGTGAGCATGAGGCGGCGCTCAAAGATCTCGTGCACGGGGTGCATCATGACGGGGAAGGTGAAGAAGAGCCCCACACACAGCCCCAGCTTCACCACGTCCGTCGACAGGTCGCGCGGTAGGTTGAGCGTGATGATCTCCTTTGTGTTGTCCTGGAACGCCACGTACCCCACGATGCCAAACGCGATGTAGAGCAGCGTGATGCAGAACATGCCGCCGCCCAGCACCAGGGGGAACTTGCTGCGGTCCTTCATGGACGCCTCGAGGGGCAGCGTCATGGCGAAGCCCTCGTAGCAGTAGCACGCCACGCCCAGGGCGAACGGCAGCGCTGCCAGCCCCGTCCACGGGTACACTGCTGTGGGCCGCGTGAAGCTGCTGACGTCATCACGGATGACCACGGCCATGGCAAGGAGGTTGGCGACGTCAGCGAATATGCTGAAGGGCGCGAGGCCGGTGAGCGAGCGCACCCACGCCAGGAGCACCTGATAGGCATGCAGGGCCGGGGGGAGGGCGCATGGGCGTCACCGGTGCAGGTCACGGCAGCACAGAAGCGAGGCCATGCAATGTTGTTTGAAACAGTGCACGCACCCACGTGTATGCAATCAGCATTTTCTTCCTGAGCCCCTCCCCCTCCCCCACCCTGTGGTGATTGACCCCACGTGCTGACCTGCAGGGGCGAGAGCAGCAGGATGAGGGTGGTCCTGACGGAGGTGCCTGGCAGCGTGGGGCAGGCGGGCACGATGGAGGCGAGGTTCTCCCCCACGAAGATGAGGTACGCCACACAGCACCCGCCCTGCGACACCAGCACCAACACGTCCACCGCGCGCTGCCCCACCTGCACACAGAGGACATGCAGGCACGGCGCGCGGGAGAGCACTCTCGAGGCGTGATGTGCATGAGGCACGCACGGGGCGCATGAAGGTGCTGCGGCAGCATGGGAGGTAGTGGCGTGGCGTGTGGTTGCGAGGAAAAAGGGTGAATGGCATGAGAGCGAGGGCAAGGGGATTCCAGGTGCGGCGGAGGTGGAGGGGTGCAGGAAAAGAAGGGGGGTGGTGATGTGCAGGGAGGAGTGGCATGCAGGAGCGGAAAACTATGATCTGTTGATGCTGAACCTAGTGACAGCCAAGCAGCACCGCAGCTGCAACCTCTGCCGCCTTGCACCTCCTCCACATCTCTTGCTCCTCATAGAGTCTGCGCGCCCAGCGTTGCTGAGCTACAACATGAATGTCGCTACCAGAATGCTGTGCGTGCGCACTCCACCGTGCTAAGCCCCCCGCTCCACACCCTCCACGCAGGCTATCCCCTTGCCGTGCTGTGCCTCGCATGCACGTGCAAGCAGCGCAGCACATGCGACCCACGCCACGCCAGCCGCTGTTCAGCGCACCTGGCCGCACGCGTGGTAGCCCAGGTCGCCGTACGTGTTGATCACTGCCCCGCCCCTCTCCGCCACCAGCCGCCGGCACCGCACCTGCGGGAGAGTGGCATTGGGGGGCAGAGGGGGGAGCACAGGGGAGGCATGGTCAGAGGTCAGGACGCGAGGACCGCGCGAGGAGCGATGGTATATCCCCTAGCCCCTCCCCGTTCCCGTATGGACTCATTCGCCGCCTTCGCCTTGCCCCCTCCTCTCCCCTCCCCCCTTTGCCCTCCCCCCTTTTGCCCTTCCCCCTTTGCCCTCCCCCTTTGCCCTCCCCCCTTTGCCCTCCCCCCTGTGCCGTCCCCGTGCAACTGCGCGCCCACCAGCAGCATCATGCAGTGGAAGCTGAGCGACGCGCTGCCGGCGATGGCGCACGACCCCACGAGCCACCCGGCCTGGCGGAACGTGAAGGGCAGCCCCAGCACGCCCGCGCCCACGATCGAAATCACCACGTTGCCCAGCGTCTTGCGCGCCGACCCCACGTGCGCCACCTCGCCGTGCGACCCGTGCGCACCCGCGTGCGCGCTGCCGTGCCCTGGAACCTGCGCATCCCGCCAGTGCTCCTCGCGCACTTGCGCGCCCTCATCGCCATCCGCAGCCCCCTGCCCGTGCCTGCTGGCTGGCCCCCCGAATACCACAATGTGCGCCTGCCCCTGCTTGCTCGAGTCGCAGCCGTCTACAGGTGATAGGGTCGGATGCGGTGCAGATGGGTGCGGCTCGGCGGCTTGAAGCAACGGGGTCGTCGCCGAGGGCGACCGCAAGTCGCGGACGCTCATGGCGAGCGACGGAGCGAGTGAGGAAAGGAAGTCGGCGAAAAGCGTTACGCGCGCGTCGAAACACAGGAATTCAGGGATTGAAGGGAATGGTCGGGTCGGGATGTTTCTTAATTATTGCGAAGACACTAGACGACGCAGAATTCCATAATCAGTTACTAAGCTTATTGGTTGGGGTTGCTGTGGCATGGCCGTGCAGTTGTGGTTCAATCTCCGTCTGCCTTCCCCAAATCGGCCGAGGAGTGCAGCGGAATATGGCTGGTGGAGAAGTAGGGCAAGGATGCGGGGAAGGAGGCACGCGGCAGCAGCACCGCTCTGCAACCCCTGTCACCTCCCGTTCTCCCTGTATCATGTCATCAGCAAATGGGGGATTTCAAGTCCATGCGACAGGATTGCGTTACAATACTTCCACGACTAGAAGTGACAGGGTTACCATCGACACCACAGTGGAAGATGGATGGGGTACGGAATGGCGCCGCCAGTCACCAAAGCGCCCTGCTGGCAGAGCAGCGCCACGTGGAGTCACACGGAAAGACAGCCTTGAAGTTGACGGGGAAGGAGAAAATCGTGACGGAAAAAGGCTAGTGCGATGCACTTTCTCTCCGAAGGTCAGGGGCATGTGGGAGGAGCCGAACCATGGATCACTGTTTGTACACTTCAACTTTCGCGATTTTCACAAATTAAAGGGAGAAGGGAAAATCTGCCATTCATAAACATCATGGGACTCGATAACATTTCTGGTAAAAAAATAAAGGGTATGGTCACTGCAAAGGGTGTTTTCACGCGACTGATAATACGTTTCACATAATCAGTCACTATGAACTGGTAAAAAAAACGCGAATGGTCATAGATGAAACTCCCGACAAAACAAAATGAAACCCGAAAATAACCTGGATATATTTTCGGATGAATCAACCCTAAACATGTAACTCATCTGGTATTTAGACTTGATCCGTTCCCAAACCGCATCCGAATCCGACTGGGTTTTGAATTTTTTTTACAAGTTAGCAGATTGGTTGGGCGTGAGCGGGAATTTTGTTGAGTTTCATTATTTTTTTTGCGGGGATTACATGTGTGATCATTCACGTGATTTTTTACCTATTGTTAGTGACTGAATCCGTGACCCCATTTACCAAACCCGTCACAAAACCCGATACAGTGACCGTACGCGCTTTTTCTTCACCATTCACGTTATCGAGTCCCAAGTTGGTTACTCTGGCATATTTTCCCAAGGGAAAATATGTCGGTAAAACTAAACAGTAGCCACAATAACATCTGTGATAATTAAAAAATCTTGTACAGTCACTTAAAATGATCTCACGCGTATAATAACGGGATTCACGTAATAAGACAATATTGTCAAAATAGTAGCACACGTGGGGGCTAGGTTTAAGTGAGGGCCTAGGCTTAGTAGCCTAGGCCAAGGGGAGTCGAGTGAGTTGTGGCAAGGAGGAGTGTCGAGAATGGTGGTGTTCACTATAGCACGAGGGTACATATAGCAAACAAATGAAGAGGTGCACCACCTACAAAGTTAATAACTTCATCACAGCTAGAACTACATGCAGTTATAATAATATTATTCTGACATCCCCCCGTAACTGCAAGAAGGAATAGCCAAGTGCAAGACACAACCTGAAGGGGTTCATCACAGACAAAGAAAATAGCAACAGCAGCCAAGAGCAGATGCAAGTTCACAAAATAAATGGCAGCACTAGAGGGGGGTGATGAGGAGGATGTCAAATGTTGTAGCCTGTAGTGAGGTTTGTCTTAGGGGGTACAGAAGTTAGGGTTTGTCATATGTACCCCAACCAACATCAATGGAACATTCATTCCTCATTCCGACATGGTATCAGCTAGGTTAGGATCCTGTGGGATCCCGTTCCTCCGTTCTCCGTTCGTACCTCCCGAGCCTGATCCTACCTCTCGTTCGTACCAGTTTCGTTGTTACCGCGCCTAGTACCGAGCCTAGCGCCATCTCCCCCGTCGCGTCACGCCCGTTCCCCCCCGTCGTGTCGCGCCCGTTCCCCCCGTCGCGTCGCGCCCGTTCCCCCCGTCGCGTCGCGCCCGTTCCCCCTGTCGCGTCGCGCCCGTTCCCCCCGTCGCGTCGCGCCCGTTCCCCCCCGTCGCGTCGCGCCCGTTCCCCCCGTCGCGTTGCACCCGCCTGTTACCCCCCCGTCCCGTCGCCCTGTCCCGTCGCCCTGTCCCGTCGCGTCGCCCTGCCCTGTCCCGTCGCCCTGTCCCGTCGCGTCGCCCTACCCCGTCGCGTCTCCCTAGGCCCTGGCCCGTCGCCCTCCCTAGGCCCTGGCCCGTCGCCCTCCCTAGGCCCTGGCCCGTCGCCCTTCCTAGGCCCTGGCCCGTCGCCCTCCCTAGGCTCTGGCCCGTCGCCCTACCCTAGGCCCTGGCCCGTTGCCCTACCCTATGTCTTGGCCCGTCGCCCTAGCCCGCTCTTCCGCTGCGACTGAGTCCTCTTCCCCCCCGGTTGTTACTCGCCTGTTCGTTCGCGTTGGTTCTCACTATGGCGACTCCGCGAGTTCTTCGTTTCGACGCCGACGGTAGACCCCTTGACTTTTCCGTCTGGCTTCTTCGCGCTCGTCGTCTGTTAGAGTGTCAGGTCCAGGGGGGCGAGACCCTCTGGTCACACGCTACTGATGACCTCCCCGAGCCCCCCGAGCCTACAGCTTTAGGCCCTGCTCCTGACGACGCTGCTACGGCTCGCTTTGCCCGTCAGCGCGCTGACCGGACGGCTTGGACGTCGCGTGACGCTGCGGCCTGCATCGCACTCAGCAGCCTCCTCCCTGAGTCCGAGGAGGTCCACTTTACTCAGGTTCGCACCGCTGCTGCGTACCTCACTGCGATTAAGGCCCGCTACTCTACTCCCGCTACTGTCTCTCTCGGCCGTCTTTTCCTCCCGTTCCTGTTTCCTGATCTTGCCTCGTTTGAGCACTCTGCTGACTTGATCGCTCACCTCCGCTCGCTCGACGCTAGTTACCGCGCTGCTTGCACTGAGGCACAGCTTGCACTGCTTCCTCCCCCCATGGCGATTACTGTCTATTTCATCGCCACTAGCCTCCCTGACCGCCTTGCCTCCGTTCGTGACGCGCTTCTGCTGAAGCACCCTAGTGAGCTGACTATCGAGGTCCTTGAGTCTGCACTCAAGGACGTCGAGAGCAACCTTCGTTCGGTAGCTGCCGCCTCTGGTACTGTGTCCCCCCCACTCTTCCATGGGTGCACAGTCCCGCAGTTACCCACCTTCACTGCCTCTCTTGCCACTGCCGCTACTGACGCGACTGCGGCTGCTGTTACGACTGCGTCGCGGTCCCGCGGCAGGGGGGGCAAGAAAGGTGGTTCCGGTGGAGGTGGAGGCGGAGGTAGCGGAGGTAGTGGGGGTGCTGTTGCGACTGGCGGTGGTGGGAGTGCAGCGTCTGGAGAGACCCCTCGTGCAGCGGCTGGTGACTCCACTGCACCTGCTGGTGGCGGCGACCCTCGAGCTCGTCAGTCGCCTCCTGTACTGCCGGCCCCGCTAGGTGGAGCAGCGACGTGGTACCAGGCTCAGCGTCAGCAGCACCTTCAGCAGCAGCAGCAACCCCTTTCCTCCCAGCAGCCTCAGCAGCAGCAGCGTCAGCAGCTGGCTCCGGGGTCGGGGCTGCGTCAGCCCCAGCGCGGTGCTGCTTACCCTCCCTGCCCCTACCAGGTTCAGACAGGTCCTCGTCGGGGCCACCCTTGTGGCCGCTTTCACCCCCCTGGTCAGTGCTTTGCTCAGCTCACTGACACAGTCCGGTTGACCTACGGGGTTGGCGGTCTTGCTCCTGACTGGCTTCCTCTGGTTCAGCGCTACGGCTCCGCTCTGTGGGGCATGTCTGCTGAGCAGTTAGTTGATCTGATTAGTGCTCCTCATGCTATGTATGCTGTTGTTGACTCTAGTGTTTCTGACTCTGTTTACTCTGGTGTTGTTAGCTTAGGTGCTAGTCTTGCTCAGTTGCCTGTTGCTAGTGTAGGTACTTGTGTAGACTCTAGACCAGCGACTACCTCAGAGGACGCTTCGCTGTCGTTCACACTGGACTCTGGAGCCTCCCACTGCTTCTTTCGGGACAGCACGACACTTACACCACTTCCTGCGCCTGTTTCTGTAGCGTTGGCTGATCCCACTTCGGGACCAGTCACTGCACGTCACACTACCACTTTACCGTGTCCTGCTGCTCCCTCCGGGTCTCTCACTGGGTTTCACGTCCCCTCGTTCTCCCGGAACTTGGTGGGCGTGCGACCCCTCGTGAGTCAGCACGTGGGTGTGTGGTTTGAGCCTTCTGGAGAGACTGCGGTGTGTGTTGACGGAGACTCTTACCAGCCTCTTGCTACCTTTACTGCTGAGCCGGGCTCGGGTCTCTACACTCTTCACACTGGCCCGCGTGCGCCGCAGCAGCAGCCGCAGCAGCAGCAGCAGCAGCCGCAGCCGCAGCAGCAGCAGCAGCAGCAGCAGCAGCAGCAACAGCACCAGCGGCCGCACCAGCAGCCCCCCCTACTGCCACTGCCCCCGGTTCCCCCCCCCGTTCGGGTCCCCGCGTCTCACCAGGTTGCTACGTCCCCCCAGGTGTCTGTGTCGTGTCAGGTTCCTACGTCTGTTCCAGTCGCTGCGTCGTGCTCCTGCCGGTCGCTTGCCCACCCCACCGTTCTGTGGCACCACCGGATGGGGCACCCGTCCCTTCCACGTCTGCGCGCTATGTCTAGTCAGCGTCTTGTCCTAGGCCTCCCACGTGTCTTGCCGTCGCTGCCGCCTTCGCCTGCGCCGCCGTGTCGTCCCTGCGTCGAGGGTAGGCTGCGCGCCACCCCTCACTCCTCCTCCCTTCGTCTGGCCACCGAGCCTTTTGAGACGCTTCACTTGGACGTCTGGGGCCCCGCCCCTCGTCTAGGCCCTGAGCGTGAGCGTTACTTTCTGGTGGTCGTTGACGACTTCTCCCGCTACACCACAGTGTTCCCTCTGGCGAAGAAGTCAGAGGTGACTTCTACGC